CTCTCTCTGGTCTCTCTCTGGTCTCTCTCTGGTCTCTCTCTGGTCTCTCTCTGGTCTCTCTCTGGTCTCTCTCTCTGGTCTCTCTCTGGTTTCTCTCTGGTCCCTGGTCTCTCTCTGGTTTCTCTCTGGTCCCTGGTCTCTCTCTGGTTTCTCTCTGGTCCCTGGTCTCTCTCTGGTTTCTCTCTGGTCCCTGGTCTCTCTCTGGTCTCTCTCTGGTCCCTGGTCTCTCTCTCTGGTCTCTCTCTCTGGTCTCTCTCTCTGGGTCTCTCTCTCTGGTCTCTCTCTCTGGTCTCTCTCTCTGGTCTCTCTCTCTGGTCTCTCTCTCTGGTCTCTCTCTGGTCTCTCTCTCTGGTCTCTCTCTGGTTTCTCTCTGGTCCCTGGTCTCTCTCTGGTTTCTCTCTGGTCCCTGGTCTCTCTCTGGTTTCTCTCTGGTCCCTGGTCTCTCTCTGGTCTCTCTCTGGTCCCTGGTCTCTCTCTCTGGTCTCTCTCTCTGGTCTCTCTCTCTGGTCTCTCTCTCTGGTCTCCCTCTCTGGTCTCCCTCTCTGGTCTCTTTCTGTACTGTAATATACAGTACGTACAGGGTCAGATGGCGTGATGGCGAGGGCGATTTCTGTCTTAAAACCATGGTAACGACATGAAAGAGACCCAGAGACACCCAGAGCAGCTGATGTGTGGGCAATTAAAGCTGGTGGGGGGCGAGAAGAAAGGTACTGAGGGCGTTACGGAGGAAATGTGAGGATAAAACCTGCCATCAATCATGAGCAGGAGGTTTTTGATCAACCCTGGTCCATGTCAGACCCGTGCCTGGACCTCAAAACAGGGAATTCTGGTAAAGCCACTTATTGTAGTCTGCAATCAAAACAGATGCTTTGAAGAACTGACGCATAAATGTTCTTTACCATTACTGTATCTACTCAATTACACACATCATCGTCGGTTATATTTGAGGACCTTTGCTGATTTTTGATAATCCCGAAGGAGGCCTGAGATCTTAGTCCTGTGTAAATGTGCCATGTCTGTCATTTGTAAAGTAAAAAAAATTCCGCCTTAAATGTGCTTCTGTATTTGTCCAAACACCAATCTGCATCTCAGTGTTGGTTATTTCAGATGCATTTTCCACGTACTGTGTTGTTTTCTGTCAATATCCTGCTCTTTTCATGTCGCTTCCTCGTTTTGATCAGAAGTTTTTATGAGTTTTAGCAGCAAATTATAAAAAGGCCCCACATTGCAGCACGGAAACTGATCCAGAAGAAACGATCATAGGACGTTGCTCTGGATAGGACGTTGCTCTGGATAGGACAAAGCTATAACCGGTGGACAGTGGCTCCAGCGCTGGACTGGCCATCGGGCAGTACCAGTCTGTCTGCCTCATAAAAAAAAGAAAAAGAAAAAATATATATATATATTGTGAAATGTATACATTTGTTGAGAAATGTTCAAGGGGGTGCGTGACCGTGGGGCACTTGTTGTTTGCTGTATGAACTCGAACGCCGCTTTGGTAATGACGGCGGTTCCCAGCGGCTGTGAGCAGCTTTGACCACGTGGCCATGTACCAAAGGCCGTATACGCCACAGGACCATTTTCTGCTAATACAGCGCTGCAAGAAACAGTCCAGGTCTCTTCCCAAACCGTAACTAAACTTGCTAAGTTAAAGCTGAGGTACCTAATTTTTCCCTTTCATTGACAGCTCATGTTAGTGGTGCCCAAAAGTAAAATGTTGAGAGCAAGTTAAACAGATTTAATGACATTGTTTATTTCCGACTTTTGTCCCTCATCCCTGTCACAAACAATAGTTGTGGTCTGTGGCCCTCCCCCCCCCCTCCCTCTGCAGTGACATGTTTATTATTCTCTTTTAACATGGACTATTGCACTTTACTTTAATTGTTGAAACTGCAGACATCCTCTACAGTATGTGCTTCCTCATACCACAATGATTCTCTGATCTGTGCCGGTGAATCAACAAAGTCCTCTGAGAAAACTGCTGTTGTGATTTAGGGCTGTACTAAAATACATTGAATTGAATTGAATACATAGAGATCATTTTTCTGCCTGGTTCATTGCTACCATTGTTCTCATGCTAATCAGCGTTTAGCATTTAGCCTCCGGCGGCTCACCACCAACTAACACTATGGACATTTTACGCATCACCACAATAACAATAATAAACCTCTCATCTGCATAACTCTGCAGATACAAATGTAGCTGTTTATTCTGCTCCAACATGCACACGCTAAAAACATACAAGATATAGATATAAATTTGACATTTCAATAGTAAAGTATTTTTGTTTTCTTGTCTGTGTCTGTGTTGATCTGAACCTCAAGTCTGCAAATAAAGGGATCTATCTAACTATTGCGATATTGGGGCAAAAATTCAATACTATTGCGTTTCTTGATATATCGCGATACAGAGACTATTGCGATTCGATTCTGTGATATATAGCAATTCACTTTTCTCATTTTATTTGAATACATTACAAACATGGAGGAAAATATGACTCTTGTCCTCTGTCACATTTATTATGGTCTGCACATATATAGACGCAAATATCAAAGAGGGAAGTGCAAAAAGGTAATTTAATCGCAATACTTTGCTACTGTATCGATCTCAATACACGCACACAATATCGCGATACACGGCAGAATCCATTTTCCACCCCCAGCACAAACAGAGGAGCCCCCAAAACATCACCAATCACATTTAAGTGTCTTCCCCCGATCCGCGCTGACCCTTCGCTCTCCGCCACATCTGTCACTGCCTTTTATTCACTCTCCGCGCAACAAATGTGACGCCGTCAGCAAGATCCCGGCGCTCTGTGGGGGCCGCCTCATTTATGCACCGTGTTTGCTTGTTATCCCTGTGAAGCTCTCCTCAGCCATCTGCTACATCACCTTTACAGTCATATTTAGTCATTTCAGGAATTTCACATTGGGCACAAGTCACCTCTGGTCCATCATAGCTCAACAAGAGTAGAAAAAGTATTGCTAACAGGCATAAGAGGGAAAAAAGTAAAGTAAATAAATCAAAATAGATGCCTGAAAGGGAGTAAGAAGAAAACTCAAGCTGGGAACTGAAATTCACCTCTTTGGAGCATCTCACATGGTTTTAGGCACTTTTACCATCAAACTGTGTCTTAACCATTTGGTAAAGGCCTATAATTATAAAATAAATAGGGGTAAAATGTTGGGTTACCAGTGTCCTAGATCTTAGAAAATACAAAAAAGAAAAAAATGACAGATTTCTTCAAGGAGTGAACATTAAAGGGTTAAGGATGGACCAATAGGATCGCACCACACACATTCTGTAGATCACACGTTTCACACTAGAGAGAGTCTAATACAGTGTGTGTGTGTGTGTGTGTGTGTGTGTGTGTGCTTGTGTGTGTGTAAACATGCTATCTTTACTATCACTGCATTAGTTCAATATTGATCAAATCTGACTACATTATGACCGCCTTAAAACAAGAATTCCCAATGGGACAAGGCAAAATGTCTCCCTTGGAATGAGAAATCCACTCCTTCAACTAATAATATTAGTTTAGAGTGGCAGTGGTTTGTAGGTAGTAGCATTAAAAGGTGAGAAGGCTCGGGACAGACCTGTTTCTACACTTGCACATAGCATTGTGGGTAATTTCACACTTCCCCAGGCAGCTCCTTCCCACTCCACGCTTCCATTCTTAAGCCCTATTCATTTCAGCTCAATCAGATCTCTCCCAATAATTGCAGTAACGTAGATTAGTGCCAATGGAAGAGCACACACATATGATTAATCCATCCGCACACACACGCACATGTACACACACACACATGCACACACACACACACACACACACACACGCACACACACACATTTACACACACATCCGCACCAGCAGCCAGGAATAGAATCCGCAACTACAGCCGCTGGAGTAGACGGTTTCATTCACAAAAGCAGAACTGCGGTAAACGTGGGAGGTTGCTACGACAACTACTACTATGTGTTTCTATACACTGCAATGATAGAATATGAGCTTATAATTGCCTAAAAGTCTTCGTTCGAGCACATTCGGACTGCTGTAAAACAAGATTTGCCGATGAGACAAAGCTGTTTTTCACATTCCAAAGGAGATATTTCTGTATATTTTGAAGACAAGAAAATTCTGCTTTGTCCCATTCATTCATTCATTCACAAATCTTGTTTTAAAATGGTCAGATTGTGCTCAAATGAATGTCCATTTTTGCTCAATTTGAGCACATTTTTGACTTTTTTTTCATCACTTTTTGCAGTGTAGGAGTTGTATACAGATTGGAAAAGGACAAGACGTTAAATGTATACAGCAATCTGAGTTTTAAATACATCTAAAAGTGAAATATATGCAAAAAGGTGGATACTGTACAGAGCAGGGCTGTCACAAACTCTTTACAATTGTTGAAAATGTCAAAGTTACAATTAGACACAAATCGATTTGAGTATGGTAAATGATGAAATGTATTTATTGACTCATTTTCCGTCACTAATATCTAAGGATCAGTTATTAATCTATACAACAAAACAACAGCCAATTGTGTAGTTTAGATGTCTGGATATGAGTCGATAAAGAAGAGAAAAAACAATACAAAACATCAGGAAAAAGTACAGGAAAGAGAAAGAATTGTAAGTAATTGGCAACTTTTGTTTTGCAAGTAAAACATATTTAGCTTTAGCCTAATAAAGAAGCTAGTATAAAATCTCTAACTTAAGCATAAAAAATAAAATAATAAATGAGTATTCTTGAATGCTGAAAAAATGCCCACTTAATACATTATACAAGTATGAAAAAGCAAAAATAACCAATCAAATTATTCCCAATGATAGTTTTTTCCCCAACATGGTCCATTGCTAACTATACTTCTACCTTTCTGGTCCATTGCTAACTATACTTCTATATTTCTGGTCCATTTCTAACTATACTTCTATATTTCTGGTCCATTGCTAACTATACTTCTACATTTCTGGTCCATTGCTGACTCGATCTCTCAGGGATGTCCGCAGCTCTTACCTCTCCGGGTCTGTCTGATCTTGGGGCTCAGCATGGCTGTCATCGCTGGTCCAGGAGCTCCCCTCTCAACATGATCTCCATCCAGGCTCCCCACCCTCCGTCTCTCCTCTCCGCGGCCGATCTGAGCGTGTGCGGAGAGGAAGGGGTGGTGTCGCGTGCCCTGCCCCTCCCTGCTGCATTATTCATACTACTACATCCGCCGAGACACTGCAAAAACACAGACATGAGTCAGAAATGGGTTAAATGTGGCCAAAAAAATGCACATTCGGACGCCTTAAAAAGCACTATTTGCCAGTGGATTTAAGGCAGCAAAAATCATCTTGTTTTAAAAATATATAAGAAATGTCTTTCTTTGAATGAGAAAATATTTCAAGACACTGCAAAAAATTATGGAAAATGAGGAAATAATTACTATTATCAAGTGTTTTTTTAATCTTAATCTGACTGTATTAAAACAAGATTCTCCAATAGGACAAAACCATTTTAGTCTAATTTAAAAAAAAAAACTGCTTTACTTTCTCATTCCAAGGCAGACATTTCTTGTATCTTCATTAAACTAGACCATTTGGCTTTGTCCCGTTGGCAAATCTTGTTTTAATACAGACAGAATGAACTCAAATTAAGTAAAAAGCCACTCAATTCAAGCAATTAAAACCTCACATTTTGTCCTTTTTTGCAGTGTAGGAGGCGTTTCTGGACGGGTGGGCTCGTCCAGAAAGAAGCAAGGTTTTTTCTCCACCGTTTGTCGAATTGGGAAGAGAGTAAAGCCAAAGGGTGGGGGAGATGAAGGCCCCCCCCTCCCTCTGACACTAATTGGGCTGTTGGGTTCTGGATGTGCCTCCTCCCATTCCACTAATCGCTTCACTCCCACCGCTCCATTGTACTGCTGCAGGACCACACTCTACTGCCGGTTTAACAGCTGTGCTCCACAACCATTCAAAATGTTGTGAATGAATGAATGCTTATTTTTGGTCATTTGTTTGATTAATAACGCATAACATATACTGACTATATTACAACCAAATAAAGGTTCTCTGCTGCCATCAGGTAGGAGATACAGAACCCCACTGGCCCAAAAAAACATCTACAAGAGATTGTTTGTCCCGTCTGCAGTCACCGGTAGCACTGCATAAATTATGAAATGTTTGCTAAATGTACTTTATGTGTGTTTTATGAATGATTTTTAATTGTGCCGCGTTGAAAGACAAATCTCTGCTCAATTTGAACAGACAATAAAAATCTATTCTATTAGGCTGAAGTAACTTATGTGAGGCCAACCTGACATGAGGCACATACAGGTCAATAGCTGCTTAGACACAAGAACTATAAAAAAACAATTAAAATCAAGTACATATTACTGATTTCAAACATAAAATGCATTTTTGCTTGAACAATGTATTTTTGTTCACTTTTCTTCAGTTGTTATTTTTGTATTATTATTGTTGTTATTATTATTAGTTTTAAAGCAAGGTATATGAATTATCCATCCACCCATCCATTTTCTTCCCCTTAATCCATTTCTGGATCGGGGAGGTGGCAGTCAGAGCTGCACCCAGTACACACAGCACCAGCCCCTCACTGATCCTCCTGGAGGTGCTGAGTCCACAGGAAGATGGCCACTCTGTCAGTCCAGCGGGGGTGTTACGGGTCCCGAGCTGAAGTTGAGACCACATGAACAAAAATAGTTGAAACGCAATCTGTAAGAAAATAAGAAACGGCTCAGAGAAGCTCGTTTCACGTCCAGATTGTGTCTTATTAACAGCCATTAGAAAATTCACATATTCATATTTTACACAATATTACATTCAGGCAGTCAATGAGTTAAACTCTTTCTATATACTCAAATTTAATACTACTAAGTTACTTTTAAATATTGGACACTTTACAAATTAACCTTAGCATTACACCGACTCTTGACTTGACCTGTGTCCTATCTCTTCACAACATCACAAAACTAAAACTGACTGGGTTCTGAACTTATTAATTCACTTGACAGGAGGGTTGTAGAAGTAAAAGGGCTCTACATGTTACCACTCTAAAGGTATTTGCTCTTAACATTTCTAATGCTGGTTGAAAAGTGCCGCGAAAAAACCAACGGGACTCTGGCGCTAGCATTAGCACCGTTAGCTCATTCGGCAGTTACACATAGAAAACCGCTCTCAAACGTCACACAATAAATCTTAATATTCTCTTATCGACTACCACAGGTACTCTAAAGTGTGGAAGTTTCAATTGTGGTGATTCAGGGCCAAATACAAACCTGTAAGAAAATAAGAAACGGCTCGGAGAAGGAATGAGTCAGCACCATGGATGTATTATAATAACTGGATAGGGTATTGCTAGCTTATAGCTGAATAACCCATGTGCTCAGGGGATTCTCGCGGTACTGCAGACTAGACCAGACTAAATTCACGTGGGCCACCCAGAAAATTTTCCCATAGAACTCAATGCATATTAAAACAGCTCGACCTCAGCTGACAGAGAACCTACAGCTTTCATTAAGGTCGGATTTTGTGGGGATTTTAGTGCCCCTTGTCATCCTGAACTTTTTTTCTTTTTAAATCAATAGGTTTTCTTTTAATCTTCACTTTAGTGCAACAAACTCTGCTCTCTTTTTCCCGCTCTTCCGCCGCTCTAGCATCCGCAGCTCGCTGATTGGTCAAGACGTTGCCAAGCCCCTCTGCTCGCGTGCATGAGAACCATACGAGCGTGCGTTCCTCGCGTGAACGCGCTCCATTCGGCTCTGTTGATGACAGAGGAGCGAGGGAGGAAACTGAACCGAACTGACCAGATAAACACGAAATGTACATTGACAGCATTGTTGTGGTTATTGTTAGCTTCATTAAGAGTCTATGTATGGTCTTTCCTACAGCGTTTGGAGTCGTGTGAATTCGTATGACAGTCATTTATACCAATATGAGTACAATAAACATAGCTATTGACTTTACAGCGTCCATATCAAAACCGAACTCAAACGTGATGATTACACAAGAGCTGGCGAGAGAGTTTAGGTATTCACCATGAATGTTGTAACCCTGCCAGTCAAAGGCAGCACAGACACACACATTTTAAGTAAATGCATTCATGTTTTGCTGTAATACATGTGGCAAGTGCTAATGCAGATTAGGATTCACATTGTAATTTAAAATAAATAAATAAATATTCAGTTTTCTACTCATGGTCATTGTAAATCAAAAATGTAAAAATCTCATCTTAATTACATAAAATCGAAACATATTTAACAACAACAAATGCAACTTGTTTTTTATAATTTAATTTGAAAATATAAATATGATAACTTATAAATAAATACACAGTAACATAATTTCCAGAGTTAAGCAAATGAAATAGATATACATACTTGAATATCCTATTATAGACAGCTGAAACAAATACGTGGCTTAACTAGTTTTGTTTTATTTAACCAGAAAAGTCCCATTGAGATAAAGAACCCCTTTTTCAAGGGAGTCCTGAATATATACTCTACCGTTCAAAAGTTTGGGGTCACATTGAAATGTCCTCAATGTTGAAGGAAAAGCTGTAGATAACTTTAAACTAGTCTTAACTGTAAAGAAATACACTCTGTACACTGCTTATGTGGTAAATGACTGCTGTTCTAGCTGCAAATGTCTGGTTTTTGGTGCAATGTTGTAATTGCTGCAAATGGAGGATTCTTTGACAAAAGCAAAGTTGGATGTAAAACAAATCTTATTTCTAATACAAATCATTATTTCTAACGTTGTCAATGTCTTGACTCTATTTTCTATTCATTTCACAACGTGTGGTGGTGAACAAGTGTGACTTTTCATGGAAAACACACACACACACACATATATATATATATATATATATACATACATACTACTATGGTTGGAGTTTTCAAGCTTCTTTGCAATATTAGGGCCTACGTTAACAAAAAAAGAATTGAACTCCTCTGCAATATCTACTCCATTGTTAATTACATTTCCATTCTGCACAAAGTAATCCGGCAGATTTTTATTTGGAGGATTTGGATTCATCACCTTTTTGAGAGTTTTCCAGGTTAGGTCCTAATGTCCAGCGTTTCTGTTTGCTTTTTTGTAAGCAGACAGTCACAAAATGTGGTTCCATGGTGTAATTCTTAGCACTCTGGACTTTGAATCCAGTGATCTGAGTTGAAATCTCTGTGGACACTCAGTCACACTTCTTTTTCCTTAGTACGTACTGGTTTCTATGGGTTCCATGGTGTAATGGTTAGCACTCTGGACTTTGAATCCAGTGATCCGAGTTCAAGTCTCGGTGGAACCTCAGCCTCATTTGCCAACTTGACCTGAAAGCTAGACCCCTGGACTGTAAGTTGAATAAATTTAAAAGTTAGAATCTCAGTGGAACCTCAGTCTCAGTTCATTGTCCTGAGTACAACCTGTTTTCTATATGGTGTAATAGTTAGCACTCTGGATCACCTCAGATTCAGTTGTCGACCTTTAAGAAAGCTGGACCCCTGAATTGTATCTATAAAACATTTCTGAGTTCAAATCTTGGTGGAACCTAAATCTACCTTTGATGACAGTTCTCACTTTGCAAGACAGTTGGACCCCTTAATCACAATTGGAAAACTATATTAAGTCCAGCGTTTGTGTTTCTTTTTTATAATAAAACATTGGTGAAATGTGGTTCCATGGTGTAATGGTTAGCACTCTGGACTCTGAATCCAGTGATCCGAGTTCAAATCTCGGTGGAACCTCACTTTCATTTGCCTACCTTAACCAGAAAGCTGGATCCCAGAACTGTAACTTGAATAAATGTCCCAGTTCAAATCTCGGTGGAACCTCAGTCTCACTTCTCTGCTGAAAAGTGGAACCCTGAATTGTAACAAGAAAATATTTCTCAGTTCAAATCTCGGTGGAACCTATATCTACTATAGATGACAGCACTCACCTTACAAGACAGTTGGACCCCTCAATAAAAACTGAAAAAATATATAAGGTTCTAATGTCCAGCGTTTCTGTTTGCTTTTTTGTAAGCAGAGTCACAAAATGTGGTTCCATGGTGTAATTCTTAGCACTCTGGACTTTGAATCCAGTGATGAGTTGAAATCTCTGTGGACACTCAGTCACACTTCTTTTTCCTAAGTACGTACTGGTTTCTATGGGTTCCATGGTGTAATGGTTAGCACTCTGGACTTTGAAACCAGCGATCTGAGTTCAAGTCTCGGTGGAACCTCAGCCTTATTTGCCAAGTTGACCTGAAAGCTAGACCCGTGGACTGTAAGTTGAATAAATGTCAGAGTTAGAATCTCAGTGGAACCACAGTCTCACTTCATTGTCCTGAGTACAACCTGTTTTCTATATGGTGTAATAGTTAGCACTCTGGATCACCTCAGATTCAATTGTCGACCTTTAAGAAAGCTGGACCCCTGAATTGTATCTAGAAAACATTTCTGAGTTCAAATCTTGGTGGAACCTAAATCTACCTTTGATGACAGTTCTCACTTTGCAAGACAGTTGGACCCCTTAATCACAATTGGAATACAAAATTAAGTCCAGCTTTTGTGTTTCTTCTTTATAATAAAACATTGGTGAAATGTGGTTCCATGGTGTAATGGTTAGCACTCTGGACTCTGAATCCAGCGATCCGAGTTCAAATCTCGGTGGAACCTCATTTTCATTTGCCTACCATAACCAGAAAGCTGGATCCCAGAACTGTAACTTGAATAAATGTCCCAGTTCAAATCTCGGTGGAACCTCAGTCTCACTTCTCTGCTGAAAAGTGGAACCCTGAATTGTAACAAGAAAATATTTCTCAGTT